TCAATAATTTTCAGTCTTTTAAAAAAAATAAATTGTATGAATCGAACATGACTTTTTTTCCCAAACCTTTTTCATTCGGAATATTAAAAGTTCATAAAATGTATGAATTTGTACATAAATGAATGATTTTTGTTTTTTTTACTTATTTTCTTTGATTTTCATAAAAAATTGCAATAAATATCCACATTGCAATAAATATCCAATGTTCCATTTTTTTTTTTTTTTTTTTTTTTTTTTGAGAAAATAATCATACATATTATCGAATTTTTATGAAAAATAGACAAAAATATTGGAAAACAAAATATGAATAAAAAAACATCAGCAAATATAGTTAAACATCTTCAGACAATCCTGGAAGTTACGCGCATATTTCATTGTTTTTAATCTAAAAACCATAAAGAAATAAAAAATTTTCCAAAGAAAATTTCAAAAATTTTTTAACAAATAGAAAAATACTATTTTTAAAATAGAAAGAAAATTTTTAATTTTTTAAGTCAAGGCTTCTAGATTATAGTTGTGTTTTGTTGCTATCAATGAGTGTTAACGCTTAAAGTTAGCAACAAAACGAACATTACCTGACTTGGCATCACTCCACAGAAGAAATCTGCTAAATCTTGAAATTATTTACAATTTCTTGAAAAGGTTTTTTTATTTGGTAATTTTCTTTGATTTAAATTTTATTTTAAAATATTTTTTTATTGTTTGACATAAACACATTAATATTTGTATTTTTATTTTTGAATTGGTAGCACTTTTATCGACGTTAAAATTAAATTGTATAATTTTACACGTTAACTCAAACGTTTATAAATTTTAAATTTATATGAAATTGCCTTTGAACGTTAGCAACAAAACACAACTATTATTAACTTTAGTCAATGAAAGCAGTGTAGTTTTGTGTGTAGTTTTTCGTTGGTGTAAATGGCATATTAGAAATTTTCCTTTAAAAATTTATTTTAGAAAAATAAAAACAGAACATTTTTTCTACACCAAGGGAGCGAAAAAACGCTAAATATAAGATAACTATTCGGAGATATAAATGAAGAATATGATAAAATGAATGTCTTATTTTAAGCAAAAAACGCTAAATATAAGAGAACTAATCGGAGATATAATTGAAGAATATGATAAAATGAAGTTTGCAATAGTTAGCATTATAATTAGTTTTTGAAAAATTCATGAAAATACTAATAAAGCCTACTTGAAATGCGTTTGAAAAATTTTTCAGTTTCAAACTTACCCCTATCCTTTTTTTAAATTTGAAAACATTTGAAAAATAGGTTTGATTTCTAACTGCCTTTTTGTTTGAAATGGTACTAATTTTCCATTTGAAAACAAAAATTTTCAAATTTGTTCTCAAAGGCTATGTCTGACATTTAAATACATATGTTTTCAAATACATATTTACATAATTTCAAATATTGGGATAAATTTTAAAAAATGCATATGTATTATTATATTAAGTTAAAGGTTTCCAAGATACATACTAACTACATATAAAAACAATAAATTTAAAATCATGTTTTTTTGCAATGTAGGCCATATATCCGTTAATTATGGACCGATTTCGCTGAGTAGATAACTTCTCGCAAGTATGTTTGATGGGATTATTCAAGATTTGGACCTCGAAGATACACTCCCGCTCACTAAAATAGGTTGACTATTTTGTTTACATTCAAATTATTTTTTTACAAAAAAATGGACTAATTAGTAATATTAAAATTTTATATAATAACATGATGTCTTAGGTATCACTAGTAAGACAAAAATTAGCGCTATACCTAATAGAGGATTTTTAATAATTTGTTTCTAACATATTACGTTTTTAGCTATATATTTTTGGATCACTTGATTAGGTTCATTCAGAATAAAGTCAGTTTACTGTTGGTAGTGAGTAAAATCCATTCATATTCTGGAGTCAATGAATATAGGCAATATATTTTTTAAAAAATAGGTTGCGGTAAGGCATTAACTAAAGAATAAAATGGCAAAATTCAAGCGTTTTTGGAAACTGTCCTAAATCACAGGAATTTGGCAAAAAAATCGGGCAAATTCAGAATGTTATTCGCAATTTTATAAGAAAATAGTCTGAATATTAAGAAAACATAAATGGACCTACTTATGGAGTCATAACAAAAGCGGAAAGAAGAGATTTAATCAAATTTGCCTCCAAGTAAAGTGATTCTGCAGCAAAAATTAAAGAAAAAGTGGGTGTTACAGCAAGCCTAGCTACAGTAAAACGAATTGTAAGAAGGGCCAAGGCTTTAAAAATATTAAAAAATTAATAAAAGCCACTTCAGTTTTCATAACTCTTTATCACCTCGAATTTTCGGAGTTACATATATCAAGTAACGGCGAATATGTTCCTTACTAAATCTTTTCTAAAACCTTGTAAAAATGTTTATAAAAATAAAAAAGTTTCATGAAAACTGCAATTTGTTGTTCGTAGTATTTTAGAAAAAAAATTATTAAAAATCGGTTATTAAGTATTTCACTAATGTTTGTCTATCTAGTGATATATAAGACATCAAATTATTAACTAAAATTTTATTATAACCAATTAGTCCATTATTTTTTGCAAAACATTTATTTGAATATAAACAAAACAGTGAACCTATTTAAGTGAGCGGGAGTTTATTTGTTTTCAAAAAACATACGGACAGGAAAAAAAGCGGGGTTTCGCAAACGTTAATCACTAAAACTACTTTGCAGTAACTATAGCTTAGTGGTAATAGTAGCGGGTTTTCCCAAACGATAGCTTAGTGGTAATGGTAGCCAATCTTGTTATTTAACATTTTTTTATATAATAATACAAACTCTTTTATTAATACGAGTATATGTACTTCATAATTTCTTTTTATAAACTAATAAACCAGGAAAATAGTCAAAAAATGGACAATCTGGAGAATTTTTAAAATTGGCACATAGCTTCTACTTAGCATAATTAGTAAGGGAAAATATCGTGTAAGCTGTGCGAAATATTGGGGGTCAAAATATATAAAAATCTGTTTTTAGAGAATAACTCGCTTATTATGGGTCTTACACGTTTAATGATAATAAATTTGTCATAATTTTTACGATATTTATAAGTTGTTAATATATATGCCAGAATCGCTCAATGACCCATAGTGCAATGTCTGTTAATCCATAATTTCAGATAGTATCACAGGTCATATTTATGATAAGAATTCAAGAATAATTGGTGGTCACAATCCACATATTTAGAGTAATATTTCGACCAAATTTTATTAAAATCAGACTTTATCTTTAAATATTTAGTTGTCTATATTAGAGCTAGTTGAAGTCGTAGTATGATTTCATTGAAATTTAATCGACATGTTTTCCTAATTTTGTGGATTATGTCCACTAATTTCTTCAAATTATATTCAGACGGACATTGCACTATATGCCAGAGAGTGACGCCGTTATATGAGATGTAACAGAATATAATTATTGCTTCCTGAAATGCGAAATAACGTACCATCACTTCTCATAGTTTTACAAGTGAAGCTAAAAACGTTATAAAATGAAAATTATTGAAGATATAAAAGCAATATTTTACATTTATGTGCAAATAGTGTTTTGCCAATTCCAGAAAAAAAAATATTATTTTTCGAAGTATTTTTCATGTCACGTTTTTTTTTATTTTTTACATTTATAATTTCTGAAACAAAATGACTTATCCATGAAATTTTTTAGTTAAAATCATGATACAACCATAGATTGTTTTATTATGGTTAAAATCATAATAAAACAATAATATGGTTGTATCATGGTTAAAATGAAAAAATTTCCTTACGGGGTGAACTAAAAGGCTGAAATGTTCTATAAATAATCTTTATTAATAAGGTTTGTTTGGAATTGATAATAAGCAATATCGGTGCACGATTTCACCTAGCTCCCACACGAGTCGCCCTAGGAATATGGTTTAAACAGTCTTAAATATGTTGTTTAGAAAACAAACCTTATGAAGTTTACGTAACCAATATCGGGTCATATTATCTACCCACGATAAAGGGACCCCTTCAAAAATGGCTTTAACATTAACAATTGACTGAAATAAGTATAATGATATGATGAATTTGAATCTCGAAAATGAAAGAAAATATAAAAGAGGTTAAACCTTTATTTTAAAGCCAAAATCAATTAAATTGGACTTTCAGATGACATTACAGATTTTGGAAATAAAGTTGACGTCGCGCAATTATAACGTCTCAAATATAGCCAAGTTTTCAAATTTGATGTCATGATATCTCGAAAAACTGATAATTATGAAGCTATATTATTAGGACTGCAAAACTTTTAGAAAAGTATTCTTTGTTCTTTGAGTTAAAACCATATTTGCCTGTTTTAATATGTATAACTTTGTTGAAATTTCTTAAATAATTGTGATGACGCGTTATTTTACTTTATGAAAATATTGTTTTTGATGATACGTTATGCGTCTACGCATAAAAAAGTCGATTTTTGTTTGATAAATTGTTTTGCGACATAATCTGTAAAAATATAAAGATTTGAAAATATCATTGGAATGAAAAAATAATGCACTATAGCTCGCAAACAACTAATGACACGCAAAAATAGCCCTTAACTAAAATGTAGGATATTTAATTCTCTATGGAAATTATAATAGCATTACCTAAAACGCGTACGACGCATAACAAGTCAGATATTCGTATAAAACACATTATTGTGACTTTAACTTCCATAATATTTCGCTTAGCGCACTCGATATTTATGATGAATTTAATACTTTATTAATAATTGTAAGGGGAAGTTGTGTGCTAATTTTCAATTTGCTATCTAAAATTCCGCAGCAAAAACCCTTATTTCTTTCCCTCGGCTATAAAGAATACATACGTATTACCATAATATGTATGTATATAAAATCATATTTACTAGATATAAATGCATAATAAATAATTTCAAAAAAGGCAATGCAAATTAACTGCTTAATCCTATTTCAAAAGTTATTCTAACTTATGTTAAAAAAAGCCAGGAATTATACATACTTTATTTAAATATTGTTAGCAATATGTCTTAAAGAATATCTACTATGTATTTAGGGTTTTATTTATATTGTATTACTCTAATTAAAATTTAAAGTAACATTAAAGAAGGAAAATAAAAGTTAAATATGATTTGTGCTTTGTGTTTTCCACGCAAATTTGTATTACCAAAAATGGTAATTTACTTAATAATAAAAAAAGTGTGGGGATATGATTTAATGAAAATATTACAATCACAATTTATGTATTAGTGTTTTTATAAGTATCTATAGTTAGCTTTAATTTTATTTGTATTAAATTATACATACTGTACAGGAGAATTATGTTACTAATCGAGTTTTCTTCAGGTTGTCTTAAGAATTTTATAACATTATGGTATAAAAACAGATATACTATTACCATAAAATGGAAAAAATACAATGGCAAACAAGAAACCTCGCATGGTAGTGATAACTCTCATAATTTTGTAAAATAATTTGCGTAAGAGTCCATTAATATGTATAGGACTCTGGATTATCAAGCAATAATAGGGAAGTAATTATTATAAGTAATTTAAGTATTATTGAGTGATTATTTAATTAAACTCATACATACATACATCCATACATAAATTATGTTGTATTTCATTTGTATGTATGTATGTATATATTTTTATATAAATATGTATTATATTAAAAGCATACAAATATTTTTTTTAAAGTACATAATATCTGTATTTAAAAAATAATAACCATTAGTGGAATATTAATGTAAAGCATTTGCTGTAGCATAGAGACTTTCCTGGTCGGAGATCATTGAATAATTGGCAGAATCTCGATCCTCGTGTATAGTTGAGTTTACCAGAGAACTTTCATAACCTATTTTTGAAAAAGTTTGATGACTGTATAGTGGATCTGCTCCTTTGACATAGGGATGGCGTCTTAAGATATTAGGATTGGAGTAACGTGTACCATTTGGCAAGGTAGTGTGTGTGACTTGTGGTGGCGACGGAATTGGTGGTCGTGTTTGTTCAACTCGATTGTTCATTTGGTGTGGTTTATAACCCGACATAGCAACTCCTGAATTGGCATATAATGGCATTTTAAACGAACTTATATTAGTGGCAGCGTTTTGAGTTTGAAACATGCTGTGGGCCGAAGTTGCATACACAGCTGTTTGTGCTTGTTGGTAATGATTGTGACTATTTAAAGGGAGTGGCATTGTACTGCAATGTTGAGAATAATCAATTTTTTGGTCTGTGTGGGAACGCTGTAAGGGCAAAGTCGCACTATTTGTATTGCTTCCAGTTGCAAAACTGGACATTCGCATATTCGTGCAACGGCCATAAGGTTCTTCTTGGATGACAGGTTGTGGTTGTTTTAAAAGCGGCTTACAGGCAACTCTAGGTCTTATAACAACTTCAATTTCTCGTTCTTCAGCTGAGTGAACGCCACTGGATGACTCGGATGGTGCTCGCTCTGGTGGAGATACTGTACTCTCAGTGCCACAAGAAGCAGTGTCACTTCGCGGTGTTAATGCTTCTTGAGGGACACCGGAGTCGGCTCGTCGTAAGCAGCGGGGAGTAAAACTTGAAGCAATCTAAAAAAATACAATTGTGACGTAACTTGTTTATGATCATTAAATATTTTATACTAACATGTGCTTCATTTGCGTGTACAGCAACCCTTACTGGTGCTAAAGGACTGATTAAATTCTCTGCAGTTAAAGAAGATTCAGGCATTTGTTTCGTATTTTTTTGTAATATTGATAAATTATTACTGTGTGTGACAGATACTATCGCTGTATCTGGTGGTGGCGGTAACGGTGGTTCTAAATCACGTGTAGAAGCGTAAGTCACACTATCATCACGCACACATTCCAATAATTTTCCCTCTTCTGATATGTTATCATCGCCAAACAACTTATCTTCATTGACTTCAAGACAATTATCATAATTATTAGGGTTAATAGTTACTGTTGTTGTATGGTCAGTGATCGTCATGGAAGATATCATATTGGGAGGAGGAGGTGGCAGTTCTTCGTATTCACTCAAATGTAAAAATTTAACAACTCCAGTTGGTGTATGCGCTTTAGAAAAAACAATACTGCTTCCTGTTTCACCACTGCTGCCTAAAGTCTTGCCAACAATTATTGCTGTGCCTGATCTTAATGTTGCATATTCTCCATCATCAATTTCCCCCTCAATACTGGTAAAACATACCGAGGTTCCACGGGTCGAATCGCTATAAAAAATATTTTATTAAAGTGATAAGTTAAAAAAGAAAGCAATTTTTAACTGACAACAATTTGAATAAAGTTTGTATTTTTAATAAATAATATGTAATACATCTCAGAATTCGGTTTCATTTAAATTTTTTTATTTAGTTTTCAATTCACGCTGTAAATATCCATACATATTTACATATGTATTTATGTATGTATGTATGTATGTAAATGTATGTACATACATATATAAAAAGTTCGTAAGTGCTACTTCGACTATACTGAATTCTGATTTATTACAAATTTATTTCAGTTTACACTTTCTCAACGGTATTTAGGGAGTTATTTTCTTAATGAATGATAGTCGGTGTAGTATTACAAACATTTTAATATTTACAATGTAATTGATATTTTATTAATTTGTGATTTCTTTTCTGAAAAAATAGAAATGTATGACTTGATAAGATTTTTACTATAAAGATAATATGTACATTATTATACATGACAATAATTACACAGTGAGACAAAATAAACGAAAATTGAAATACCTGGGAAGTGACAATATTTTTTGGAAAGGTGGATCCGAGTAGAACAAGAATCTATTTTTGAAATTTGCCAAACACCTCCAAAATCTTGAAATACCGGAAAAACGGGTTATCGCTTATTAGTTCGAATTTCAATTAGTGCGGTTTCAAAATTCTAAAATTTTTCTTTACAAAAACGATTTTGATGAAACTCTTGGTCCGTATACTTGCAAAAAAGAGCTCAACAAAGTACAACTACAGTTTTTTTACCAATTCCAGTTCGGATATATAAAGTATCGTTCAAATCCTTTGTACATGAAGGAATATTATGTTTTTAGGGATAATTAGGGATAATAATTTGAAAATATGCGCTTTTTATTTAAAACCCAATTAGTGGATTTTGTATGGAGCTAGTGTATTGCTTTGTGCGAATTTGAATGATGCGCTTTTTAGCGAACAATTTAATCGCATAAAACTAGGTTTGAGTACATTTAACTTAGAATCTAAACTGATTTTAAGTTTCTCAACGGATTTAGTAAGAAGAAACAGAGGCCTTTGAAATGACATACTCATATGATGTTTAAGTAACCTGGAGAAATATGTGTGCATTTCATAGGCAAACATATGTTTTTGATTTTAGTTTTGTTTTTAAAAATCCGTTAACAATTGACGATGTTATTGATCTTTTTCTTAATAAAAATTTGTTAAAAAACTGATTTTCTGAAAAATGCTTTATATGGGAAATTGGGTTAAATATTGGACGATCTTCATAAAATTTGGTGGAAGAATTAAGGTTTATACAAAAGTAGAGAATTATCGTATTAAAGTCATTTGCTGAAGGAAGATTTGCATGGGGACATGAGTCAAATAAGGTCCTATCAATACAAAAATCGGTATAAATGAGTTTGCTGTAATCCTTAGTAATATTGCTTATTCTTTAAACAATACGGACTTATTTGAAAAATTACACAACAATTAAAGAAAAGATCAATAACGTCGTCAATTTTTAACGGATTTTTAAACACAAAGTTGTGTTTTATTCATGAACAGACATAGTTTTTAATACATTAATAAATAGTAAAGTTCTTATACATATAAAATAATTTCTAAAAACATCTCCAAACTTCGAAAATGATGCGAAATCAAAAATTTGTTTGCCGATGAAATGCACACATATTTTTCCAGGATACTTAAGCAGTCATTATAAAGGTCACAGCTTTTGCTTTCTAAGTCCTTTGAGAAACTTAAAATCGGTTTAGATTCAACTAAGTTAAATACCTATAAGTGCTTAAAGGTATGAAAATCCGTTTATTACCCCTATCTCAAGATTATGGAGGTGTTTGGCAAATTTCAAAAACAGATTCTTATTGTGTTCGGATCCACCTTTCAGAAAAATAGTGTCACTTCCCAGGTATTTCTTTTTGTCGCATAGTATTATCAGTTTATTATTTATTTGAAGATTCCGTTTTTTAAATTTGTTTCATTGGAGAAATCAAACATTTGTTTTCGGAAAAGAAATCTTTAATAAAAATAGATGACATTTTTAATTAAATGTTTCTATAAAATACATATACAAATAATATTTTTAAAACAGGCGACAAGCGGAACAAAATAGTTTCTCAACAACAAATGGTGTGCTTTTGTAATCAATTACTTAATTCGTTTAAGGTCCTTTTGTCAGAGCTTTACAAATTTTGATTAGAAAGTATATAAAATAAAATTTATTTCCATACAAAAAACAACAGGTGCCAAAATTAGAGAGGTGTTATATGAACAAAATTCTTATAAAAACTAATGAAACAATACGTGCAAAACTTAACGCATAAAAATATCAATTAAAATTTATCTAACGTAAAATTAAATTTTGGTTAGATTTAATGGTGTTAACACAAAAAAATTATAAACATCAAGCTTTAGAAAACAAAGATTTCGTTACTGTGGTTATGAATGTATGTAGGTTAAAATATTGAATTGTACTAATTACTACATTTTTACGTTTAAAATTTCAATTTCAAATTGGTTTATGGCTGAGCTAAAAAACGATTTTTTACCGCTTGCCATCGTTTTGTTCATGTTCACCACTTTGTTGATGATGATGATCATCTTCAGACGTACTCGTAACTTCATTGAATGTGACTTTTAATTTCGGAGAACTTGGTGTTATTTTAGGCCAATATATGTCATCTGGATGTGCATCATTTAGTACATCAGAGCTCGATGCATTACTGATTAGATTTCCGGAATTTTCACTGTTTATTTTGAGTTCCATATTATCACTTGCTGAGGAACTACTAACGCCAATAGTGGTGGAATTATTTAAGCTAGCTGTTGTGGTATTTGTTAGACTTCCTCTATTGTGCATGAGTAAAGGTTGTGTAGTAGCTTTCCCTATTATTGCGTATGCATCCAAAGGCGGCAATTTAAAACTCCATTTACGTTTTACAGTCAAACCCAGCCAAATTATAATCCATAGAAATATATGCATTACGCTTACAAGGGCTAAAAACATAAAACAAATGTAAATAGTTAGCAAATATGTCAATTTAAATTGCAAATAATAATCTTAAAAGATATAAGAAAAATAATTTGTTACATTATAAATAGAAATGTTGCTGGAAGGCGAGTTCACGCAAAATATTTTATTTAAACGTTTCAGCAATAAAATAACGCGACCGTCAAACACACTCAAAGTAATAAAATGGTAAAAATAAAATTCATCTTTGGCAATAGGCTTTACTTCGGCTGCTAATCAATCCTATAATTGGTACTAAGTTTGATTTTGGGCAATTTCAATTTTGTTTGTTTGTTTTAATTTAAAGTTGCCCCCTTGACATTATGATACCACTAAGGAGGGATTATTTGGCCTTGATATATTCATAACGCCATCACCAATTACGACTTTCGCCTAAAAGAGCCTCGTCCAAGAACTGCCAATCCGAGGAAGCTGGAACTCCCGAACTCCGCTCCTGAGTTTACTGGTCTCCACCAAAATCTTAAACGAGTTTTGTTTGGTACTCCACCATGTATCAAAGAAATTTTTAGGTTATCAAAAAAAATGCATATGGTTAACGCATGAAACTTCGAAGAACCGTAACGCGGTACAGTTATGCGACGCCACACATTAAACCAATGCAAGAGTGACTCTCGAAGACAGCGAAAGAATTACCCTTAAACGATAATGGCAATGACGCACGTAGGTCTTTATCCACCCAGAGCTGAATTACGAATAAATTTCAATTTTGAAAAAACACGGGACAAAAACAAAAGTTGTCAGATTTTAGCGAAACCAAAGGAATGTATAGTTGGGCAAAACCAACCGATACATACATATGTATATGTATTTAAGCATTTTAAAGATAAATATAATAAATGGTGTGGAATGGGAACTTGGGTCAATAGCATGGAAATTTTCTAAATGATGAAAGTTTTATTCATTAATAATATTCGTCCAATGAGTTTTTGGTTGACTTAAAACTAGATTGACCTATTAACTTAAACTTTCAATTAAGTGAAACATTTCTCCGTTTGAAAAAAAAATAGTATAGGAATATTTTTGAACTAATAATTTAGTGTAGAAAAAATTATTTCACTAGGCTGTAAAAACAAATATTTTAACTATTTTTCAAATATTTTCAGTTAACAATTTTAAATATCACTATCACTATTACTGAGTGAGGCTTATATTTTTCAATTCATCACTAAACTTAAATAAAAGTAGTGAATAATTTTGAACTACCACTAATTATTAGTGATAGTTAAAAATTAGTGCTCTACCCCCATCTCTGTTTATCGCAGTCACCTTTTTTATTATGACATGATGTATGTATAACTTTTACTTATGATGTATGTATGTATAACTTTTACTTACCTGCCATGAAAGTAGGGCAGTGCAAATTGTATCGATATATTGCATTTAAATCATTTAATAATGGTGCTTTAACTACTGATAATGCCAAAACGTAACACAGCGAGGCACAATGGGAAAAATAAATCCAAGATTCATTGGACTTCAATGATATTATAGATCTATCACGCATTTTAGCTGATAAACGTCCATGCCCGTGCAAATACAAAATCATCGATGAAGATAGTATTAATATGACGGAGAGCAAAAATAAGGCAAGTGTAACACTGGCATTAAGGATTAAGCCGGCATTTTGTATCGGCTGACCTTGGCTGTAAATTTGTAGCTTAAAAAGATTCGATATTCCAACGAAACTAAATACAATATCTAACGCTGATGCAATCATTTGCACGCTAAATATGGTAGCGAATGATTTGGCTGTAGTCCAAAATACCGCGGGATAACGAACGCACCAAACCAAAAGGGCGAACAATAGATTAATAAACTCAGCACTTGGTGGATGGATAAATACATTGACATCTATAGGTTTTTCAACGCCCAGAAACAACTGCAACATACCAGCAAATCCATCGAGACGTACAATACTATCGTCGGAATTAGGTGATTGAATGCCAGAAGTAGTGGAAGATTCAAACGGGGTTATTTCTGCTATATATTCGTTTGAATCATTCAATGATAAATCGCCAACTAAATACTCTGGTTCAATTTCTACCTGATTTTCCACGGTTAAAGGAATATCTCTTTTAAATTTTTTGTTTGATTTTGTTTTAATTTCAATAATTTTAGAATTACTTGATAATGGAGTCGATGGTATAATTTCAGGCAGCTTTTCTGGTTTGACAATATGAATATTACTGTCCCGAGTAGTTGTGCTAATTGCAGTTGACGATTTTGGATAACTGGCAACTCTAGCACGGCCATAATCAGATTCTTCATATAAAGAGGGTCTATGCTCATATATGTTGCCACCATTATCTTCACTCGAATATGAAACATTAAATTCATCGAGATTATTAAATTCTACAGATTCTCCGTATTTATCATTATTTGAATAACGCATATCTTTCACTCGCCTAGAAGATTTCATAGCAACACGATGCTGAGAATGTTGTTGATGAGTTTTACGTTGTCCCAAAGACGTAGAAATTTTTCTTTGTCTGTGATGTTTACGAGTCGATTTACCATAATGACTATTTTGACTTTGATGTTGTTGATGATGTGGTATATGATATGAAATATGTTTTGGGGTTGATGAAGTGAACAAATTAAACTCGCTATAATTAGGACTAACAGAGTTTGCAATGATTGTTGCAACGTCAAGATATGTATTTGTTGACGCAACGTTTCTTTCAGTTACTTCGGTAGAAGTTACCACAATTGATGCATTTGTAGTAACATCTTCATATGTTACAGTCGGCCGATAAGTAGGAGAAACGGTTGGTACTGTTGTTGGTGTATATTCCGTTATAACATTTTTTGAATCAACTAAATCGGGAATTTCGAAATATTTTATTTTTCCAGATTCCATAAGAACGTTTTTATTTTCTTGTCTATAACTATCTTTGCCATTTTTCGAATAAACAGTAAATATAGTGTCATTGAAGTAATCTTCATCTTCTTGTTCGAGGAGTGTATTGTTTTGATAGGGTGAAGCTTTTATAGATAAAACTACTAAATTGCGACGATTTACTGACATAAAATCCAGTTCAGTTTGCCAAATTGTTTCTGTAAATAAATTTAAAATTCTTAATTGAATACAAGTAAAAATATAATGTTTTTATAATTTTATTCAACTAAAGCTAAGTTCACATCTATCAAATATTTAATAAAAATGACGTGACCCCTATAAAATTGCCATAAACATTAGTTATAAAAAAATGTAAGAACTAAAAACTTTTATAAATAATAGTGGTTACGTCTTTTTTGTCAAATATTTGTTAGATGTGAATATTTGTTAGATGTTAAGTGTCTACGATGTAAAGTATATAAATAGGCCCGGGTTGTTACTCCGTATTGCGATTGGAAAGAAAAAGTTTTCGAAACACAATGTGTTTACTATACAATTTCGAAAACTTTTTCTTTCGAATCGAGTAACATAGTAACCGCCCTGTATTTTTAAATCACTATCGACGAAAGCGGTAGCCAACCTCCTACACAATCCCAAAATTAAAGTCACGCCTTAAGTTTTATGAAAATTATCCTATTGTTTAATCTTAAAAATCTAAAATTTTTCACGGATGAATCTGAATCCTGGTAATTTTTAAAGTCCAAAACTTTGGTGGTTAAAAACTTTCGAGGTTGGAGTTTTGAAATTTAGGTTACCTGGAAAAGATGGGCGCATTGAACTTTTTAACAACCCGTCTTTTTAAGATATTTGGTGGTAAAAATCTTTCCAGGATGTAGTTTCGATATCAAATTTTAATACATATTTTTGAAAATTTTTATAAAATTAATTTCTTGAAAGAAAAGTCCGAAATCCTGGAGATCTTCATGTGATTTTTAAACAACCAATCCTTTTTAATATATTTGCTTGTTAAAATATTTCGAGGATGGAGTTTTGATATCAAATTTTAATATTTTTAAAAATTTAATTTCTTGGGAAGATAAATCAGAAATCCAGGTGACCGGGAGAAGATGGAGATCTGGAGATGATGGGAGGCTGAAAATTCATGTGAATTTTAAACAACCAATCTTTCTAATATATTTTAATGTTTTTAAACATTATTATTTTAAACATAATTTTAATATTTTTAAACATTTATGGGCTGTTTCTAGATAACGAGCGAGTAGGAAGAAAAATTTATGTAGGCATTTATTTATGATCAATGCAGTGCAATTTAATTGTCCTATAGTTATTTTATATAGTTTATCTTTTATAATAAATTAGTTCTTAGAATTTTTTAAAATTATATTATTTTGTTTTGAAAGAATCATTGTTAAGTAGAAATTTGTAATCGCTTATGGCATATAGGCTAGATTATTGAATACTGTTAAATAAAAAATAAGTAAATAAAAATCCAGGAGACCTGGATAAGATGGGCAACTTTAACTTAATGGATATTTTTAACAACCAATCTGCTGGATTTTGGATTTTTCTTCCCAAGAAATTAAAATTTTCAAAAATATTAAAATTTACATTTGAAAAGTTTACACAAAAAATTAATTCGTAATATTAACAACTATGATTTAAATAATAGTAAAGTACTAAATTAAAATAAAATTTGTTATACTACAGTATAAAATCCTATTTATGAAATTTTACTTGGCTTTAATTTTGGGATAGTGTGGGAGGTTGGCTTCTGAGATATATGGCGGTTAAAATCTTTCGCTGATGGAATTTTGATATCAAATTTAAAATTTAAAATGTTAAAATATGTATATCTTAGGAAAAAATACAGGAGATCTGGAGAAGTTGAACAGCTAGAACTTGATGGATATTTTTAACAACTAATCTCCTGGATTTCGGATTTGTCTTCCCAATTTTAAAAAATATTAAAATTGTATATCAAAACTCCAATTTCATTGAATTTTAAAAAATTTTCATGAAATTTTACGTGGCTTCAATTTTGGAATTTATTTGGAAATTATGGTTAAAATCGAAACCGATTAAACCGGTTTTAACCATTAATATAAAATTTGTTATACTACAGTATAAATAATAGGCTCCGCTCTTGATACACTAAAAATTGACATAGAAAATTATTGCGAACATACGCATAATAATTCACCCCTCCTCACAATATTAGGGTATAATAATAATATAAATAATAGGAAGCAGTTATAAATACTTATGAACCTCTTGGTAGTAGACCATTTTCAATTACACGTCCTTCCAAGAGTAATCGTGGCAAAAGTAAACACATGGCTATTAAAATATGTATAAAGGCAGCAGTGGGCCCACCATGTGTCCATAAAGTTCGCAAAGTACCACCGCCCGATTCTTCTTCTAAACCATCGTGAGGTGTCATTGAGCAATGGCGGTCTTTTGCAGCGCTTCCTAATTTAATTCCATCATTTGCCAAGTTACCAACCTAAAAAAAATAACATAAACATTAATAAATATAAACATATCATCTTTTAAAATATTATTATTTGATTATACATTAATTAACATACAAATCTGTGCCAAAAATAAAAAAGTGCCAATTTTAAGTTCTGCAAAAATCATGTTTTCGCATTTTTTATGTAGATTTTTTATAAAAATCGGATTAGAACTTTAATCAAAGCTTCGAATTATTTAGTTCAATTTGAGCTTAATTCACTAAAATCTTAATTCAGAGTTAGAAAGTTTAATCGTTCAATTATTTTTTTAATTCTCTGGAATTAATTCAAAGGCTTTCCGTTTATTTGATTTCATTAGCATACTGAATTCATTCATGTTTGAATTACATTCAGCTTTGTATTATTCAACTTTTCTTTAATTCAAATCTACTCCAAATTAACTTACGATACTTTTCTTTAATTCAATTTGTAATAGATTGAATGAAAAACTTTTCGTTTACAGCCAGAGTGTTGTATCTCAAAAATTATCATTTTGACTTAAAAGGTTTTTCTACTTTTAATTTGTTATTTATATATAAAAGAGTGTATGCGTAAAGGTTTTAAATAAATTATTTTACAGCTGAGATTTGTAAATTTGTATAAAGAATTATCTTCTGATGCTAATAAACACAAAGGTCCTTTTTTACGTTTTTTCATATTTCCCGCAAATGAATGATATGAAATATTGATAACATGTGGAAGGGGTTTGATAGGCATTTTGAATGACGTATCATAAATTTCAACTTCAAAAATATCGAAAATTTTTAAGATTTCGGAAAAATTTAACATTTTTAAATTTTAACATACACAGAAAAAATAATACATAACTTGAATGAATTTTGTAATATATTTTATGAATCGACTTTTTTTCCCAAACCATTTTTATTCAGAATATTAAAAGTTCATAAAATGTATGAACTTGTACATGGCGGAAATTTTTTGAATTTATACTTTTTTTCTACGATATTCATGAAAAATTGCAAAAAAAAGTTCATTATCTACTCATATGTTTCCATATTTACCCAGCAAAAAAAGTGTGAAAAAAGATGTAGAATTTTTATAACAACTAGTAACCCGAAGTGCTTCAAATTCAAGTGAAAAACCTATGAATTTTACATTAGCGTGTCATTGGAGGGAAGTTGTTCATTTTTGACAACTTTGAACTACATCTAATCTTATCTTTAGAAGCTTTAGAAATCCGATATTTGTATGTAAAAAATAAACCACATTCTTTCAATGAAACACTTATGTAAATTTCATTGGATTTTCATCAAAATTTGAAGTATGTGCTTCGAATATGTTGTTTGTAGTGACTTTTCTACATCTCTTTCCCCATTTTTAACTGTGTTTTCATTTGTAAGGATATGTTTGGTTTATAAAAGCGAAAAGTATGCAATCGCATTTTTAGATGTGATTAAGGTGTCGTTTGTAAAGTATGACATCAATTATTTTTTGCTGGGTAGTAGATAGTAATCCTTTATTAGCGAATTTTGTATAATAAAAAAATATAAATTGAAATGTAGAAAAACAAAATGAAAAACTAGAAAACATCAGCCAACATAGTTAAGCATCTATATAAAATGCCGCCAAATACGTGCACATTTCATCGATTTTAATCTAAAAATCATAAAGAAATACAAAATTTTGCAAAAAAAATTTCAAACATTTTTTTTAACAAATAGAAAAATAAAAATAAATTTCAAGTACAGTGATTCAAACCCAAAATCGAACATGGGTTTCATCCTATTCGAATAGCGCAACTTATTCGAATAGGATGAAATATGTACCAAATATAAGTAAAATCGTGGGTAAACGATTTCGTGGGCAACTGACTCTGCGTTCATGACATAAATTGTTTGTCCGATTTTGCCTCTGACTTTAAAATGTTTATGTATCTTCTTTAATGTATATTTTTTGTTTAATTTAAAATAATTGAAAATTATGTCGGATTTTGGGTTTGAATCGCTGTATTTTAAGTCAAGGCTTCTAGATTATGTTTGAAAAAATATAAATTCTGTGTACATATTTTTAAATTTTGGTAAAAACCATTCCAAAATAACTTATTAATATCGATGAGTAGGAGAATAAACCAAAATACACAGAAAATAACTGTAAAGCCGATTACATGTCCGGGTAAGCACATTTGTAACCAGTTATTTTTTGGTCATCTTCGAACAAAAATTAGTATTTAATAAATACTATTTATTCACCCAAAAAGGAAGTACTTACACTTTGCTCCAATATTACTTGCCTACTTAAAGTGTAAGTAAAGATTTTGCTGGGATAGTTCAGTAATATAAACAACAACATTAAATATGTTATTTACAAAGAAAGCACGACAGCATGTTAATTTTTGACGTAAAATTGTGTAAATATTTCTGTTAAACTGAAATATTTCTTTAATAATGCTATGAAATTATAAACTATCGTATCATTGAAAAGCTTATGCATTTTAGGTTAGTATTGGTTTAATAGCTAACAGAAGATCGGTTAGAAAATCAATTTTTAAAAATAACAAAAAAAATATTAACTAGAATATGAAACAAGTAACACAACTATTTACTCATAATTTTTGATCACAAAGTATGTGATCAACATGCAACTTGCATGTTGAGTACTTTCATGTACGTATTCTCAATGAAATATCAATAAGTATATTCAATTCTCATATCAAACTTACTTTAAAAACGGCTGAGGTAAAGAAGAATGGTAGTAATACGAAAACCAAGCCAGAAAGAATAATTTGTAAATTCAGCTCCGCTACTGGCTCAATTGTCCATGGGATTAGGGAACAACCTGCAAAAAATTATAAATTTTATAAAGTTTAACGTGTATTCTTGTAATAAGTTAGTTATTAGTTTTACCCAAAAATCTATAAGCACCATGAACTGCTAAATATCCTTGGAATAAAGTAAGCAATACTCCATACCATATTGACCATAAGGAATTTAAATGTAAATAATTGTTATGATCTGGATATATCTGCGAATACATACTACTATATTTAGCATGCTTTCTTTTCGAATTCATATACTTGGCTGGCAAACGATGGCTTTGAAAATTAGGATGTGAATGGTGTTGTTTATGATTGCCAATTGGATCACTTAAAACTGCATTCGAAATACTCGAATTTAAACTAAATGGTGTTTCTTTTCCCATAGAGTTTGCTGAATTAGATAAGATGCTTGTGTTGATATTGGAAGAATAATAAGTTGAGCTTCGTTTTTTTGATTTATTTACAATGTGGTTATTATTTTCGTATGTTAACAATGATCCCGTAATAGACATGTCCTTATTATTCGTTTAAATGATATGTTTATTATAATTTTTGTTTTATTTTATTTGAATCGCATTTTCATAACGGCATACAATTTACTAGTAGCTTCCATTGTGACATACACATACATAATTTTGTGAATTGTAAAATCTGCACAAGAAACATAGTTTATTAAAAATTTAAATATTTAACCGTATATGTATGTACTATTTATGTAATAGGCTTATATGAACATAAAACTCGGATTTTCTTAATACAAATTTTTATACCGTTCACCTTCGTGAGAAGGGTATATATTTATAAGATTGTCATTCCGTTTGAAATTTCTACAATATAATTTTCCTATTTAAAATCAGCAAAATCAGTCCATAAATAATGTAGATAAGAGCAAAAATCCAAGACCACCTCTAAAAATTTACTCAACAACCTTGTCAGCAAATTTGAGTTTTATTTTGGATACATGATCTAACTAGTCACTATTTAGGCTCAACTTTATGTTTCTCATTGCTAAATAAAAATATTTACAGAAACAAAATTCATTACTTTCTAATTTTTTTCCTATTTTTATTAAATTTTAGTTCAAATTAATATATCAAAAAGAAACGTAAATGATAATAATTAAATAGAATAAAAATGTACAAAGGAAAACTTTTTAATACACTAAAGGTCAATCTTTAGGTGAAAGATAAGCGATTAAATTAAAATTAATCCTCGAAAGTTGTTTTTGAGTACTCAATTAAGCTACGTTCAGACCTATCAAACATTTGATGAAAAAGACGTAACCACTAATTTTTGTAATTTTTTTTTTTTTTGATTCTGCATGATTTTTGTAATTGCAAATATTGTCGAAACAAATAATAAAGACGTTCTAAACTGATGTCGCCAAAGATATATTATGTTTGTGCAAATAAATATATATTTTAAGGAAATCAAAATGTAGATTTTTTAGGGGTCACGTCATTTTCGTCAAACATTTGATAGGTGTGAACGTAGCTTTAGTTAATTTTGTTTGCAAGTTTATGCGCCCAATGGAGGTGGTTTAAACTTGAGCAAAAAATTAAAATGTGTAAACAGCTGATGCAAAAAAATAATACAATTTTTATAAAAATAAACATTAAAATTTTCTATTTACTGATTTGTATTAATTACGGAACTTCAAAACACATTTTTTTGTTTTAAATTTAAGTTTTCATTAATTTTCATATTAAATTTTAATTTAACATAAATTAAATTTAAATTAACATAATTTTATACCTTCAGCATTGTTCGACATCCTTAATAGATTTTGCTTTAATAAGTGATACCAATTTTATAAAACATTCTGGTCAATTTTTAGTACCATCTCTTTCACATCACTCATTTATTTATTATTGTCTTGATGTTCCGCTGTCGATTGGTGATTACGTAAAGGAATTTAAAGATTATAATAATATCGACTGGAGTAGAGTTCATGATATCATTTCGAGTGAATATTGGAATAGAATCTTTTATACAAATAATGTTGATGAACAAGTTAATATACCAACTTCTTAATTCCTTACATGAAACGGTCCCAATTAGGAAAGAACGTCGAACAGTTCATAATAATGTTAATTTTTGTAAATTTTTTGATGTGAGAAAAGCGAGGAACATGAGGAATTTGGCGTTTAAAGCTTACAAAGAGAATATGAGTCAGTCTAATTGGGTAATATATTGCAAGTATCGGAACAAGGTTAAAAGTCTTTTAAGAAAACATAAAATACTTTATTGGAAATCTAGGTTCGATCGTTGTAGTAATAAAGATGTGTGGAGAGTTTTAAATCAAAATCATGTCTACAGTAATCCGTTTGATAAACATGACCCGGAGACTTTTAATGAATATTTCACTTCATCCCAAACTTATTCTAATGATCCTCTGCCGGATTTTGCTGGCTCGTCACATTTAGGGTTTCAATTCAGATGTATTGACAAGAATGAACTTTTTTATGCAATTTTGAGAATTAAATCTAATTCTATTAGTTTTGATGGGCTACCACATAAATTTATTAAGGCTATTTATCCACATGTTGAAAACTATCTTCTCTATATATTTAACAATATAATTATTAGCTCTAGCTTTCCTAGTGTTTGGAAAATATCTAGAATATTACCTATAAAGATGAAGGGAAGTAGTGTTTGTCTTGATAATTATAGACCTATAAGTATTTTGAGTAGTTTATCCAAAACATTAGAAATTATTTTAAAAGATCAAATGTTGGAACATATTCACTCAAAGAACTTGCTTAGTAGTGCTCAATTTGGATTTATATCCGGAGGCAGTACCGCTTCTTTGTTATTAAACCTTACGGAAAATGTTCGTCAAAATTGCAACTCCAATAGATTTTCTACTATGGTATCGTTAGATTTAAGTAAAGCTTTTGACACGGTCAACTATTGTGTGTTAATTAGTAAACTGATTTCTAAATTTGAATTTTCCAATTCCTCTTGTAAACTATTATTCTCGTACATTAGTAATCGTAAACAATATGTTGGTAATGGTTTAATACAATCTACAATATCTGATTGTCTAAGTGGCGTGCCTCAAGGTACCGTCCTGGGTCCCTTGCTCTTTTTAATTTATATTAATGATTTTGAAGAATTCATCGGTAATTCTCTTTGTAAAAGTTTTTTTTTTTTTCTTCCGAAATACAGTTTCTCGATTGCCATGAAAATACTATAAATTATACGTTGTCTAAAGTTTCCGAATGGGCGTTTAATAATAGATTAAAATTCAATCCATCAAAAACAAAAGCTATAACTTTCACAATAAACAATAGCGCTATAGACTCCATAAATATTGTGCTAGGTGGTGAGAGTATATCGTTTGTTGACTCAATAACTTGCCTTGGGTTAACACTTGATAAAACGTTGACTTTTGACAAGCATATATCTAATGTAAGTTTGAAAATTTGCCAAGTATTGAGATTACTGTATTCGTTAAATTGTTACCTACCAATTAGTGTGAAAAAACAAATAGCTCATGCTTTACTTATGCCCCATATTCGTTACTGCCTGGATATTTACAGTGGTACATCTATAATGCATTTTAATCGTATTAAATTAATTTTCAATCGTATCATTAGATATATTTACAATCTCAGAATTACTGATCATGTGTCAGATTATTCGTTAAATTTTCTCAACTGTTCTTTTCGTTCATTCGTAGAAATTGGAATTTTAATAATCTATATATATATAAAATTCTAACGTTACTGACTGACTGACTGACTGACTGACTGATTCATCATCGCACAGCCTAAACGGTTAAAGCTAAAGAGCTGAAATTTGGACAGGGGGTTGGTCTCCCACCAAATAGATCCGCTAAGACGGGATTTTTGGAAATTCGAATGTTTAGGGGGTAAAAAGGGTAAAAACGGGTAAATTCGGTAACCTCATATCTCCTAAACTAGAAAAGATACAAAAATTGTTTAGGGGGTAAAAAAGGGTAATTTGTTTAAAGCTTATCGTCGTTCATTTAAATAATAAGCGGACAGGTGTCTGGTACTTTTTCAATTTCGGCCCCTTTAGGGAATAAACGGGTAAAAACTGTATTTTGGTACTTTTTTTTGCACCCCATGTATCTTTTAAACCAGTGAATATTCAAACAATATTTTTGACTCCTTCATAACTTGGCGAAAAAATAAAAATATAAATTTAGTACTTTTTGGTTATTCGGATGTTTAAGGGGTGAAAATTGTACCTATTTTTGGTACTTTTTTCATAAAACATTGATTTTGGTTTATTAACTTATACATATAAATACATAATAACGGGCTCCCACTACGATGTTGCAACATTTTGGAATAGAATTTATTTCATTAATGGGTAGAAAAAAGTACCAAAAGGGGTAAAAACGGGAAATTTGATTTTATTCAATCACAATGATCCAATTTAGATAAAATTTTTAGATTTAGAAACACTAAATATGCTAATGAGGTGTTATTTGGAACCCCGGTACCAAGTGATATTTTTTGGTACTTTTTCATTCTTCATCTGGTACTTTTGAGTTTTTTTTGAGTTTGAGTTTTATATTGAAATCGAAACATGAAATTAATAATAAAGGGACTTTTCGGTACTTTTTCGTTCTACACAGGTATTTTTTTGAGTTTTCTTTAAAATTAAACCTAGAAGCACGAAATTAAGCATGTAGAGCCCGGAGTAAATGAGAATCTATAAAAGAGGACTTTTTGGTACTTTTTCGTATAGAATTTATTTCATTAATGGGTAGAAAAAAGTACCAAAAGGGGTAAAAACGGGAAATTTGATTTTATTCAATCACAATGATCCAATTTAGATAAAATTTTTAGATTTAGAAACACTAAATATGCTAATGAGGTGTTATTTGGAACCCCGGTACCAAGTGATATTTTTTGGTACTTTTTCATTCTTCATCTGGTACTTTTGAGTTTTTTTGAGTTTGAGTTTTATATTGAAATCGAAACATGAAATTAATAATAAAGGGACTTTTCGGTACTTTTTCGTTCTACACAGGTATTTTTTTTGAGTTTTCTTTAAAATTAAACCTAGAAGCACGAAATTAAGCATGTAGAGCCTGGAGTAAATGAGAATCTATAAAAGAGGACTTTTTGGTACTTCGACTGGTACTTTTTGAGTTTTCTATTAAATTTAACCTAGAAACATGAAATTAAGCATGTAGAGCCCGGAGTAAATGAGAATCTATAAAAGGGGACTTTTTGGTACTTTTTCGTTCTACAAAAGGTACTTTTTGAGTTTTCTATAAAATTTAACCTAGAAAAATAAAATTAAGCATGTAGAGCCCGGAGTAAATGGGAATCTATAAAAGGGGCATTTTTGGTACTTTTTCGTTCTTCAAAAGGTACTTTTTGAATTTCCTATAATATTGAACCTAGAAACATGAAATTAAGTATGTAGAGGATGGATTAAGTGAGAACCTATAAAAGGGGACTTTTGGTACTTTTTCGTTCATCAAAAGGTACTTTTTGGATTTTTGTCTAATATTGAACCTAGAAACGTGAAATGAAGCATGTAGAGCCCGGAGTAAATGAGAATCTAGGTTAGGTTAGGTTGATAAGAGGATGTATACTACATCAAATCCGAAGAAATACACCTAGGCCACTATCGGGCCTGTTGTGCGCTCCAATTCAAGAAAA